GGTGGTTTGTGGGAGGCAAATTCCCTCAACTTTTGCTTGTGTGGGAATTGTTTAATCCCTCCATCATATTTAAATGATAATCGTGCTGGATACAGTATCCTTGGTTCAAGGCCCTTCTGTTTCATTGCATTAAATATATCATGCCATTCTCTTCTGGCCTGTAGGGTTTCTGTCAAGAGGTCTGATGATAGCCTGATGGGTTTTCCTTTATAGGTGACCTTTTTTCTCTCTAGCTACCTTTAAAACTCTTTCCTTGTTCTTGATCTTTGCCATGACGTCTTTTTTTTTTTAACTGTGAAGTACACATAACCCAGATTTGCCATCTTAACCATGTGTAAGTGTGGAGTTCTATAGTGACATTAAGTTCACTCACACTGTTGTGTCAGTGAAGTTTTTTACGCAACTCCACCACTATCAACTCCCAGATTAGTTCTTCACATAGTATATATGTAGTTTTAAACCAGACTTTAGGTGTGCAGTTGTAAAGGAAATGTGTAGAGCAAGTCCTTATTTGTTAATGTGATATTTTTTAATGTCTGCCACTTGTACAAATGTAGCAGCATCTGAGAAACCAAAATCAAAGCCCCTAACCCAGAATCATTCAGTAAGAAATAATCCCCAGTGACAAAACCCCAGTTACTAATAATAGGAGCTTTTTTTTCCCAACATTTACTATATACAGGGATCTGTTTTGAGCACTTTACATCTACTAACTCATACTCAAAATAACCCTGGAGATAGATACCTTGTCATCTTCATTTTAGAGGAAAAATGAGACACAGAAAGGTTAAATTGCTTCCTCATCCATTTAGTGTGAGCTGGGATTTAAACCCGAGGAATCTGGCTCAGGCCCACGCTGCTAAAGGAAGTTCAGCACAGTGAACTGAGTAAATTGTTTGAGGAGTATATGCTTATGAGAACTTCCTTATGCTGCATATCGAGCCATGTATATTCTTCTCCTTTCTCAGCAAAAGAAGTCATACTTTATCTTCAAAGCAAGCAATTTGAAATTAATATAGGACGGAAGAGCTACATTTAATCAGTTCTCCAAACTTTTTCTGTTATTCTAAGTAGAAGAAATGCTCTGCACTGAAGTTTCCCATGATATTGATAAAGCTGAAATGTTTTAAATGTTAAATATGAAAATCCCCTTTTTATTTTGAGTATTTTGACTGAGAAATGCATGGAAACTCAAGAGTTGAACATCACCAAATTAGAAGAAAAATTCCCAAAACAAGAGAAAAAGTTGGTTAAAGGATCCAATTTATGCATTCATTCTAATCTTTTCTTGTAGAAAAATGACATTTATGACAAGTTAGCAACCCTCATTTGCCTACTCCATATGTATGTATCAGTACATTTACTCCCTGTCCAGACTATAGTTTTTGCTAATAATCATATGCCTTTTAAGCTTGGTAAGGAACATGTGGAAATATTTTGGAGTTGTAAGTGACCTTAGAACATATCTGGCTCAATATTCTTATTTTCTGGTTAGGAAAATGAAGTTCAAAGTGATTAAGTGACTTGCTAAAGGCCACATAGCTTCTTAACAGGATTTCTGAAACTAGACCAAGTTCCCTGACATCTGGTAGGCTCTCTCCCCAAAAAAGCAGGGGAGCAAGGACAGTGAAGCCATTCCTTTACCCTTTTTGGTTGTTAATCTTCACATGTCTGATTGGCTGCAGTCCAGCTCAACTTTCAAATATTTACTTGACAGATAATGAAAAGATATTATTGGACTATGGGACAACCTTTGTTACAGCATGGAAGAATACTCACAACTACCGGGTCTGGAACAGCAACAAGCATCCAGCACTTGCAGAAATAAATCCAAAGTAAGCACATCCTTTGAAGATTGATAGATAACACACAAAATGGTTGCTTTACAGAGTGTCCCCAGTATAAAGAAAATCATCTTAACTTTCATGATATTATGCATATCTTCAAGAATCTCCTTAAGTAGATTATGAAAAAGGCTGCCAAATGCAGAGAAGCAGCTGAAAACTGCTTCCCTGTTCTTTTCTGAGACAGAAATCTCCGGGCACTCTTGGAAGCACTGACATTTCTCCCAGCTCTCGGTGTATTCACAGGAGGCCCTGGCACACAGTGACGCTCAGTATGTGATAGCTCTTCTCTCCTGTTGCTGGGATCTGTACTTCAGCAGAAAAGGTCAAACAAGATAGAAGCCTTAAAGGAAATACCGCGAGGCAAAACTGAGAGGTTATTGTAAACCATCAAGTATGAAAAACCAAAGTTGATATGTGAATTCCTAGGTACCTAGTCAGTACTGGTTTCCACATCAGATACTAAAATTCCACAAAATTTAATACCTGTCTTTGTATGGAATATGGACTGGACAAAGACTTTACCCCACATAGGCATAAAAGACATTTAAACTTGCTATGGAATGGTGCCACTATGAAATAATACCATCTTTGTATGAATGGAACAGAGTTGAGTCGAAAGAGACTCACTGATATAATGAAGACATCCTGGGAACTTATCTTGTAAATTAAGAATTAAAATGATGTGTATTTTTATAATACAAACATACACTGAATGTTTGTTTTCATTTGTATTTTAAACTTATACTTCCTGAGAATCGGACAAAAATCAACTTTGGACTGGCTACTATATTATTTGGGAACTAGGGTTAACTTAATTAAAGTGGGGATGTGATTTAAGTGGTGCAAAAATGGATACTCCCTTCCCCTCCCACAATATGTGAAGTCCAGGCATTTATGGCGTAGTAACTTGGGGAAGCATCTGCAAGGAAAAGGTACTGTAGCAGAGCTTTGGAAAACATGCATATTAAACTTCATATTATCTATCAAGAGAAACGATTAGGTTCAGCCCTGATTTGGGTGAACTGAATCATCATACTGAGCTATAATAGAATCCCACATAGACGTTCGAATGTGGTAAAAAAAGAATTAAAAAGCAAAACATTTTAATAGTATTAAATCAAAGAGCTAAGAGTTCACAGTATTCTCCCTCGCTAACCACGAGGTCTGTATTCTGAAGAGGGATGAGGAGAAACAGAGGTGTGTTTGGGTTGCCTGGTGGCTCTCACTGGAGGTTTGCGGGGGCCATCTGTCCTCCCCCAGGGCTCTGCACTGCTGACCCGCTCAGACCCTTAGCCAGTCGCCATGTCTGCTGTGGTGCCTTTCACTTGAACCAGTTCCACAGATTTTAATACGGCCTCATAAGAGGCTCAGGTGGAACAGGCTTTAAAGGATTGTAAAATAGTGCTTTTTAAAATATGTAAATAAACTGAGGTTATTTAGATTGGAGAGAAGACTGAAGAAGGACCTGAAATATATAGGGGAAGGAGCTTATGCAGATACTATAGTCAGCCAATTTTCATTATTTTCACTAAATTTAAAACAGAAATGATAGCCTTCAGTTGTTATCAGGAGGTGTAATTTCAAAATAATCCCAACTAATTGTAAGATTTGAGGTCTATGAAACCTTCTCTTCAATTCCTTAAAGATCAGAGAAGGTAGTCCTTAATTTCCCTTAGTAAGCAGCAGGCAGGCATATTTCATCTAAACACAGCCTTTCCAGGAATACAGAGCATAACTTGGTAATCTCTCAGTTCTTTCAAACTGTGATTCAGGAATCTACAAAGACAGAAGTTTTACATATGCTTAATATGGCCAGTAAACAAATTTATCATTTAAAAAGCCATGAATACATTTTGATGTTTTTATAAGTAGCTATAGATTTCATTAGGGTCACTTTGTTAGACATTCACAGAGACCCCTGAGAATAAGGTAAGAATCTGGAAATTTACTAACTCCTTCTTTTATAGTGTAACTTTGGTCAGGTTGCCTGATTGTGCATGTGTATACACATACATATACTTTTTCTCCCTTTTATATATTTTTTAGAACTGCATTTTGAGTTGCTTTTCTAATGAGAAGTCAAGATTTTACAGATCCATCCACAAATGTTTATATACTAATAGGTAGTCAGAATCAAGTTATAACCTGTGATCATGGCCTAAGTCAGTAACTATAACCCTGACTGTCCTGGGGAGCTTGTTAAAAACGTTGATGCCTTAGACCCAACCCAGACCAAATAGGTCAGAACATCAGGGTAGCACAAACACAAACCCCACCCAAGGAACAAACAAAACACCAATTTTACAAGTGAGGAAATAAGCTTACGTCCCCATAGCTGTAGGAGGAGAGCTGTGACCAGAGCCCCATTTCCTGCTAGCATGTTCAGAGCACCACTGCCCAGCAGAAGTCCCCCTGTGAGCTTACTGGTACTTCCTTGTGATAAATCTTGTTTGCAGCATTACTGGTGAAATACTTATAATCTAAACTCAAACTTTGTATTACAGCCATCCTTTTCAAGGCCAATACTCAGTGTCAGACGTGAAGTTAAGATTCTCACAGTGAGTATTTAAAGAAAGTACTAGGAAAATTTATCTGAATTTATGCCATGTGTTTCATTGCTAAATGGGAATTGTTTTTCTCACTTGATAGACTTGTGCTTCAAATGGTAACCAAATATGTGCATAACATTCTCTAGCTTAGCAGTGTGTATGTTTCAAAGGGAAAACACTGCTGTTTTATGGAGAATGGTGTGAACTAATAATAGGATTTGCCATTTTTATTCTGGTGAAGTAACTTTAGCAAATCATGACTGTAGGGATAATTAACCATACACCAATCCTTCTGTTCTTACCACTTTTTGGTTCATCTTCATGTTCTTTTAGTATTTTCTGAAAGTTTGCATGCTTTAAAATTTAATAAGTTAATTGATGCATAACAAATAATAACTTAGCTTCTTTTTCAATAATTCTAATTTGGGAGATGGTTATTGAGTGGTTAGTGTATACATGTGTGATTTTTTTTTTTAACTGTACTTAACACTTCTTTCTTTTACTCAGTTCTGTTCAAAACAGTGAACGTGGCAAAAAAATTGGAAACGTCATGGTCACAACTAGCCGTAATGTTGTACAAACAGGAAAAGCTGTTGGTAAGGCATGCCTTTAGCAAGGAACAGATTGGAATCTGAGCACATCGCTCATCTATCTTTAATATGTCATTGATAAAAACATAAAGTTGCAGAGGTCTGTGTATCATATAATAATGTAAAATGGTTGAATAGAGGTTTTTTGGTATTTTTCAGTTTCTTGTCTTAATCATTAAAAAATACTCTTGTGACACCAGATAGCACCAAAGAAAGTTCAGCAAATTTTGCTACATTTGATGGAGAGTGATAGCATTTTCTGTGAGTTTACTGTTGTTACCAGGATTTGAGGTTCACTGGAATTTTTCCCCATTCCCTGAGCTGCCCACAATTCTTTATAAACAGTAGAAAACCATAATAAAGTAGGCATTAGGAACTGCTTCTTCTAAGATATATCACACAAAGAAAATCAGTAAAATCAATAGTTCATTTCTTTAAAAGATCAAGAGTATTAATAAAACCCTTCCAGACTAATAGACGAAAAAAGGAGAAGGTACAAATTACCAATATTGGGAATGAAGGAGGGAACATCACTCTACATCTTATAAAAATAAGATAATACGAGAATATTGTGAATAACTTTATGACATCTTTTGGACAGCTGAGGTAAAATACGTAAATTCTTTGCAAGACTCAAATTGCCAAAACTGATACAATAAGAAATTTCAAAAATCTGAATAGCCCTATATCTATTAAATAGATTGAATTAAAAATTTTAAACCTTGCTACAAGATTTTACATTTAATCCAGGCCCAGATGGCTCTACTTAGGGACTTTATCAAATAGGTAAGGAATAATATGCTACCCTGATGCTGAAGCCAGAGAGGTGATAGCATGTAATTATATATACTCTTCTGCACCTAGCTTTTTTTCACTTAAAATATTTTGAAGATTGTTCCATATCCATTCTAAAGAAATTCTTCATTCCTTTTCTGTGTATTGAACTTTTTGTATAATTTCAAACTTAAAGAATGATACATCAGTGTACAGAAACTCCCAGTTACCTCAGATTCACCAGTTATTTACCTTTTGCCACATTTGCTTTGTCATATCAGTATGTAAAAAAAACAGGACCCATCTCTTTCCTTAGCTCCTGGGAGAAGTTGACTAACCCTTACTGAACACAGTTCAACAGCCCTGGAACTAGGTGATCTCTGTGCAGGGGTCCTCAGCTATGAGGGATAGATTCCATATACCAGGAGTAGATGGGGGAGAGAACTGCTTCACAGACTGTCTTAGGAGACAAGATAGCTTTATCACTGGGTTCGTTTTATTACCAGAGAATGGAATTTGATGTATAAGCATTTATTTCAATATAATATTACACATTTGACTTATTTTTAATTCTTGTTTTTTAACAGACAAATTCTGCTTTATCATAGGTATATGCTATTAATTGTTACTTAACTCTTAGTGTTACTACTGCTAATGTCTAAATTCTAAGGCCAGTTCTCCTGTTGCACACTCCTCCAGGAATAGTGGGCATGTATGATCCAACTTAGATAATTTCACTTGAGCATCAACTTTTGAGATACTATTCTTTAAAACAAAGGAGACCTGAGGCAGAGAGAGCTCTTGTGTGACCTTTAATGCAACATCATTTTAGATGACCAAAGCAAATGTCCCTAAAGCAGCCTAACCCCTCCTCCCTGTATAGTGGTTATCTATTACCAGCTTGGGTTTAGGGTACAGAATGCACATAGGACTTTGTCATCTCTGCAGATGATTCCATGCACAGCCAGTGCTGATAGCCTAGCACAGTGGATATTAAGGGAAGAGTTTGCTGAATACCTTCAGTATGCTTAGAAGAATGCTTAGAGATACTTAAGAGATACAGGTATAGATAGTTCAAGATACTTAGGAAAATAGGCTCTTATACCCAGAAATGATCCAGTTTCCTATTAGGTACTCCCTTGGAAAGGAATTGTTTGGAAACTAGAAACTTCAGTGATATTTTAGTAACTATTATCACATTGATGTGTTAAAGTAAATTAACATTTACTAATTAGCATTGGTCTTTCACTGTCTCTCAACAAAAGTGAAGACACTTTCCTTTTGTTTTTCTCCTCTTTCCATCCAGGCCAGTCAGTTGGAGGAGCTTTCTCCAGTGCCAAGACAGCTATGTCTTCGTGGCTTTCTACTTTCACCAGTTCCACCCCTCAGAGTCTCACTGAGCCATCCGATGGGAAGCCCTGAGCACGGCATCCAGCGGCTGCTGTTGCTTTCTTAGGTTAAGTGTTCCCTGTCTGTCTGCTGCTCCCAGACTGTTCCTCTCTATTGGCCACAGGTCCACAGCAGGGTACTGATTCGTCGAACTGTTTACATGGACGGTTGCCCTCTGTCTAAATGAATGTCGCAGGATGCAGAAAAATGAAATCACAACCAATGCAGGGATGGCTTTCCAGGTTGGGGTTTAAATTGACTACTTTTATTTCAGTCTGAGCCTGATTAAAACTCACAGTGAACCTTCAATGAATTTGAGTTCTGATACACATTTGTTTGCTTCAGAGTTTTTACTTTCGTAAATTTTGTCCTGTTTTGATGTTTGAATATCCAGATGGTCACTGTAATTTATATGTGCTAAAATTAAGTTATATTGCTATTTTAATTTCTCTAAAGCTGGCCCTAAAATGTGCTTAAAAAGTTAAAGGGCCATGCAGTCCAGGCCTTTGTTATTTTTTTGCTGAGTTATATGATGATTTTTTTTGTTTGTTGCTTTTGTGCCCCAAAATAGATTTATCGATTCACTTCCACCTGGAAACGTGAAAGAGGTGGTAGTTCTGAGTATGGAGTGTTTTGTTTCATGTTTTTAATTTGTTCTTTCCCTGTCCGAAACACTTGCTTTGAGATGTCAAAGAGTGTCACTCTGCTTTCTTCTCTTCTTTCTCTTAGGTGTGCAGAGAACTAGCATAGTGACAATGACAGCGGTATAGCAGTGTTTGAGCAGCTTAGCCTGAATGTATATTTAGGGCAAGACTTTAAAAGACTTCGATGTTAGTTCTGGCAGCTCTAGTCACGTTGCAGTCTTTTACAAGGATTTTTTTTAACCTACAGTTTGTGCCTTCTGTTTCTTCGTTTGAACAGTTTTCCATTGGGTGTTTACAGGCCTACAGGTTTTTTTCTTAGTCTTCCTCTTCATGAAAAAAGGAGAAGGTACAAATTACCAATATTGGGAATGAAGGAGGGAACATCACTCTACATCTTATAAAAATAAGATAATACGAGAATATTGTGAATAACTTTATGACATCTTTTGGACAGCTGAGGTAAAATACGTAAATTCTTTGCAAGACTCAAATTGCCAAAACTGATACAATAAGAAATTTCAAAAATCTGAATAGCCCTATATCTATTAAATAGATTGAATTAAAAATTTTAAACCTTGCTACAAGATTTTACATTTAATCCAGGCCCAGATGGCTCTACTTAGGGACTTTATCAAATAGGTAAGGAATAATATGCTACCCTGATGCTGAAGCCAGAGAGGTGATAGCATGTAATTATATATACTCTTCTGCACCTAGCTTTTTTTCACTTAAAATATTTTGAAGATTGTTCCATATCCATTCTAAAGAAATTCTTCATTCCTTTTCTGTGTATTGAACTTTTTGTATAATTTCAAACTTAAAGAATGATACATCAGTGTACAGAAACTCCCAGTTACCTCAGATTCACCAGTTATTTACCTTTTGCCACATTTGCTTTGTCATATCAGTATGTAAAAAAAACAGGACCCATCTCTTTCCTTAGCTCCTGGGAGAAGTTGACTAACCCTTACTGAACACAGTTCAACAGCCCTGGAACTAGGTGATCTCTGTGCAGGGGTCCTCAGCTATGAGGGATAGATTCCATATACCAGGAGTAGATGGGGGAGAGAACTGCTTCACAGACTGTCTTAGGAGACAAGATAGCTTTATCACTGGGTTCGTTTTATTACCAGAGAATGGAATTTGATGTATAAGCATTTATTTCAATATAATATTACACATTTGACTTATTTTTAATTCTTGTTTTTTAACAGACAAATTCTGCTTTATCATAGGTATATGCTATTAATTGTTACTTAACTCTTAGTGTTACTACTGCTAATGTCTAAATTCTAAGGCCAGTTCTCCTGTTGCACACTCCTCCAGGAATAGTGGGCATGTATGATCCAACTTAGATAATTTCACTTGAGCATCAACTTTTGAGATACTATTCTTTAAAACAAAGGAGACCTGAGGCAGAGAGAGCTCTTGTGTGACCTTTAATGCAACATCATTTTAGATGACCAAAGCAAATGTCCCTAAAGCAGCCTAACCCCTCCTCCCTGTATAGTGGTTATCTATTACCAGCTTGGGTTTAGGGTACAGAATGCACATAGGACTTTGTCATCTCTGCAGATGATTCCATGCACAGCCAGTGCTGATAGCCTAGCACAGTGGATATTAAGGGAAGAGTTTGCTGAATACCTTCAGTATGCTTAGAAGAATGCTTAGAGATACTTAAGAGATACAGGTATAGATAGTTCAAGATACTTAGGAAAATAGGCTCTTATACCCAGAAATGATCCAGTTTCCTATTAGGTACTCCCTTGGAAAGGAATTGTTTGGAAACTAGAAACTTCAGTGATATTTTAGTAACTATTATCACATTGATGTGTTAAAGTAAATTAACATTTACTAATTAGCATTGGTCTTTCACTGTCTCTCAACAAAAGTGAAGACACTTTCCTTTTGTTTTTCTCCTCTTTCCATCCAGGCCAGTCAGTTGGAGGAGCTTTCTCCAGTGCCAAGACAGCTATGTCTTCGTGGCTTTCTACTTTCACCAGTTCCACCCCTCAGAGTCTCACTGAGCCATCCGATGGGAAGCCCTGAGCACGGCATCCAGCGGCTGCTGTTGCTTTCTTAGGTTAAGTGTTCCCTGTCTGTCTGCTGCTCCCAGACTGTTCCTCTCTATTGGCCACAGGTCCACAGCAGGGTACTGATTCGTCGAACTGTTTACATGGACGGTTGCCCTCTGTCTAAATGAATGTCGCAGGATGCAGAAAAATGAAATCACAACCAATGCAGGGATGGCTTTCCAGGTTGGGGTTTAAATTGACTACTTTTATTTCAGTCTGAGCCTGATTAAAACTCACAGTGAACCTTCAATGAATTTGAGTTCTGATACACATTTGTTTGCTTCAGAGTTTTTACTTTCGTAAATTTTGTCCTGTTTTGATGTTTGAATATCCAGATGGTCACTGTAATTTATATGTGCTAAAATTAAGTTATATTGCTATTTTAATTTCTCTAAAGCTGGCCCTAAAATGTGCTTAAAAAGTTAAAGGGCCATGCAGTCCAGGCCTTTGTTATTTTTTTGCTGAGTTATATGATGATTTTTTTTGTTTGTTGCTTTTGTGCCCCAAAATAGATTTATCGATTCACTTCCACCTGGAAACGTGAAAGAGGTGGTAGTTCTGAGTATGGAGTGTTTTGTTTCATGTTTTTAATTTGTTCTTTCCCTGTCCGAAACACTTGCTTTGAGATGTCAAAGAGTGTCACTCTGCTTTCTTCTCTTCTTTCTCTTAGGTGTGCAGAGAACTAGCATAGTGACAATGACAGCGGTATAGCAGTGTTTGAGCAGCTTAGCCTGAATGTATATTTAGGGCAAGACTTTAAAAGACTTCGATGTTAGTTCTGGCAGCTCTAGTCACGTTGCAGTCTTTTACAAGGATTTTTTTTAACCTACAGTTTGTGCCTTCTGTTTCTTCGTTTGAACAGTTTTCCATTGGGTGTTTACAGGCCTACAGGTTTTTTTCTTAGTCTTCCTCTTCATAAAGCTCTTTACGGCTCTTGGCCTTTCTAATTCCCTGATGGAAAACCCTCCTCTAATCAATCCCCAACCCCTTCTAAAAGTATTTATAAAAGAAAAGCAAGAAGATACATAAATAGAAATCTCATTTTAGATCACATTTATAAATGCAAGAGGCAAGAGAAGAAAACTACAGCCATGACATCAGTCATGTTTCATAAAGGACATCTGGTTTCATTTTAGACGTGCACATGTGTGCTATCTACTGAAGATTTTTACACAACTGGACCTCATGTATCTGCCATGCTCAGCTGTCATTTGCTTTTCAAGGGGACTTTGGATGGGTGTTCTCAGGGAGTACTTACAAGGGACAGACTGCTTTTTCAAAGGCTACTTGGAAAATACATTGTGAGTATAATCTACATATGATATAGAAAGTATTGGGGAAATAAGGGTCCTAGTTAAGGAGGACACTTGGTTATACTTGATGTATCACTTAAGAAATGTTTGTGTGATAAGGAAATCCTTCTAAAGCATGTGAAATGGACATAGGGACATAATATATAAATATTCCCAGAATTTCCAGTTTGTGTTTTAACACAAGTCCAACAAATCTAAATGCATACTTCCACTTGAGCGTAACTCAAGAATTCAGTGATGATAAATTAAAGGGCTTATTTTCAGAACTCCATTCTACTCTGCTAGGAAAATTAACCTTCTCAGGAAATAGTATTTGAAGAGAAGAAAGTAATACCAAACCAAACCTTTTTAAAAGGTACTTTAATCAGTGTTACACTGAAACCATAAAGAATTCATTCTAACATCATGTTGTTTTGTGAGACTACGTCATTAGCTGGAGTGTGATAGTGTATTTGTGTGCAGTTGTTACCTTTCACCTGCTAGAAGTACACAGTGCTCAGGGCACCAGGAGGGCCAGCTAGCACGCTGCAGGTCATCCTTTAGTTTGCCTGGTTTGTATGACTGGGGTAAACTCTCATCCCTCCCTCTTCGAAAGCAGCCCAATCCATGCTTTGGAAGCCCACTGAAATAAAAACATTTACATGACATTTAACTTTGCTCTAGTATCACTTATTTCCCATTTCAATGTACACCTCAGTTGAACTTTCTAGTAATGTTTCCCATTCAGAGTTCGACTTCTAAAGTGGTCGTTTAAGTGGCTTTCAGCATAAAATGAATTATCTCAGAAGAGAAATTTTATCATAGAAATGGTCAAAAGACTAACTGTAGTTCCTTTGGGTTCTGGGAGGTGTTGGAGTTTTTAGGGAGCTTAGGCTGTTGAGTTGTTGGCAGGAGCCATGGGGCAGCCAGCATGGTTGAAGTCAGGAAGCCTGGCCCCTTGTCCTATGTCGCCTGTGTGCTTCAGGCTCAGATTCCAGGCTCCAGCTGAGCAGCGGGACCCAGAGCGGTTGCTTCGCTCTAATCACCAGCTCAGTGAGCCATTGGAGCCAACAGTGGGCCGTCTTTGGACATATCCCTGGGAAAGGTGTGTGTTTCAGCCACAGTTGCTCCAGTGCTTTTGTGTCTAGTACTGAGTATTTATAAGTAGGCCTGAGGGAGCAAGGGTCAGCCAGGCTTTTCAACATGTGCCAGGCACACAGACTGCACCCCTTGCTTGGTGGCGACTTAAAAGTAGTGTTTGCAAACAGTTTCTGGCATACTTAAATTCCTACTAGGTACTGTAATGACAGTGATACTGGTAAGGAAAAGAGAGTAAACCTACCACATCCTAAGCTAGGTGAATAGAAAATGCTGTATGTCAAAGTAAAGCTTAGAATCATTGTGCCATATGCATTTAGCTCACATAAACCAATACGAATGGTCTGTCCCCAAGTCCATCACTGATTTGATTTACTAGCCCCAAGCCCTTAAACAATTCTTCCCTACTTTTTGCTTTAAGAAACACAGCAACAATACCTTTGGGCAGCAAACCAGACCTATGACAGGATTTCTTCAACCTTATCTTGCTTTCTTAGTTCTATATTAAGCGTTGAATATATATGTGTGTGTGTGTGTCTGTGTGTGTACACAGACACACACACACACATATATAAAATCATTTACTTGGGAAAGGCAAGGAGAACGCAAATTAGGAAGGGAGAGAAGTGAGAAGTTGCAAGGCTGAGGACCAAGGTACTTACAACCTAAATGAAAGTATTTTGAGAGCAGTATTTAACATGCTAAAGGTTGTAAGAATTATTTTGCAAAGAAGTTTGTATTTTAATCTGCTAGTTACAAGTTTTAAAATGAAGCTATAACACTGTCTCCCTAGCTGGCAGGTTTTGTTCTTATTTTATGTTTTGTGGAAGTTATACTGGTCTTTTTCCCTCCAGGCCTAGTGATGAGTCAGGATAAGGGGCCAGTGGACTGATGCCTAAACCACATGAACTTTTACATGCTTCAGCAGTTTGGGGAAGTAGTCCATTAGGATGGTTGCTGCTAAATGTTGCCTATTATTTTATCAGGGAGTTGACTGGGTCTCTTGAAATGACATTAGCATTTGCATGCTCTGATTGTTTGATCGGAGGTGGCAGGGCATTCATGGCCTTTCCACCCGATTTCTTGGTAGCCTTTAAACAGGATGGGTAGCCCTAGTTTCTAGAAGATGATTGTCATTCCATATAGCACATTGTGCCACTAGGAAATTTTTCATTCCAAGTCTTTGGACTTCATAACATTAGAATTGTTTTTCCATAATTTCCAGCATTCCATAAATACTCATCAAGACAAAGAAAAGCAATGTGGATCTTTATTATTTCCATATAAATAACTTCAGTACCCATGACTTCCTGCTTTAATATGGAGAAGAAACTAGCTCCCTTGTATGGTAACTCCAAAACTAAAAGATTGTACAAGTATAAGGGGTTGACTGACTGTATTTTGTAAGATGCTAATGCATTTGTATTTCTGTGCTGTTCTAAAGTTTACCTTTTTACTCATATTAATTAAAGATATAGAAACTATATATTTAAATCATGTAAATGGGACACTAGGGATTTTTTCCGATCTTCCATCAGCTTCTCAGACACACATAGTATGCTGCTCAAATTTTTTTGTGTGCAATATAAACATTTGAACATTTCAGTCAGGTATTGAGCCAAAAAGGGTAACTGAGGTTTTTATAAGCTTCTGTGCTTTGCTTGAAATATTAATCATTTATAGCTGAAAATATAGGATCAAGACGTATGTATTTCAGGCCACTTGATCATTGGTTCCTAAATTTAGGAAACATTTGATTAATGAGTTGGTGAAGGCATTTAATAGTTACAAAAATAGTTTAAGTATCTGAGATTAAAGGCTTTCTATAAACCCTTTCTAAGAAAATTTAGCTTAGGAATCTTAGAAATTTTTTTCTGAGGAAATTTAGCTGTGACACATGTTTTGATCAGAAGTGTAGTGTCTCTTTGCTCTAGTAGTTTTATAATTTGTACTAGTTCTTTGTTTCTTAAAAATGTTAAAATTATAAATCATGTCTAATCATAGTGAATTGTAAACCTTCTACTGTACTTTAAGAAAAAATGAGAATAAAATTATACCATTGTCTTGCATACAATTGTACTTGGCCTGTCTTTGTGGAAGTACCCCTCATGTTGTCAGTGTGGTTTCTAGCCTGCTTCACAGTTGGACAACAGAGCCAGCTTGATATATTAAAAATTCAGCACACAGGAAGAACTAGAGGACTCATTGTTCATTTAGTCTCTCAGTTTGGCACCTCCATTTTTAAGGGATGACTCCCACAGGAAGAGCCCTTTAGTTTGTGTGGAGTGCTGAGTGCTTGAGACCCCACAAAGTACAGGCAGACTGAGGTTGGTCACCCTCACTAACAAATCCCCAGGGAAGAGGACATTGTCATTAGCAGCCCATTTTTCCGCCTGGACTGGGAAGCTTCAAAATAGCCCTTGACATTTCCACTGAAGACTTCCTAGCACGTTTTCTTATATCTATTTCCATGTACTATGGTTTTCTTACAGCCACTCTACAAACAGAAGCTGTGTGATGTGCTTCACAGAAGTGGACAAATTTTTTTGTCCCCTGGGAAAGTGCGCCTCCTAGAGTGCTGGGTTAAGTTTAAGATGCCGATGTTCTCTGACACGGACCTTTACTGGCCTGGCACTGCTGAGGTGACCTGGGGACAGTACAGCTCTGCACTGCTGGCATCTCCCCTTTTCAGAGGACTTGTTCCTGCTGGGCTCTGGGCCCTGCCGCCGTGAGGTGATGGTTCCACGTTTCCAAGGTCAGAGCTGCCTGTGCTTTACTCTGATAAGATGGGAGTTGTACTTACTGCATCTGGTATCATCTAGAAGAAGTGTGGCTATGGAGCCAGTTTTTTCCAAGGAACAACCCTTCATGAAGAGTTTACCTCTGCCTGGGTTTAATCTACATTGGATTGGGAAACACACTCGGCAGGACTGATCTGTCCAAGTTCATGATGGATAAATCCACAACTGGCCTTTAAGATAACATGGCTGAAAGTCCACTCCAGTTGAGGCGGCTGAGGTCTAGTCACTCAGCACACATAGACATACTTTATATGATCGTGGAGTCCGAAGCCAGGGAACCACCCAAGGCAGGAGATCAGAATGGTTATGCTTGTTCTTGATCCCATTAGCACCTGCATTTAACATTGCTAGTATTTCAATGCAAAAACTAAGACTAAAATATTTTTAAATCTGTGTTCTATCCTTCACTGGATCTGGCTACACTCCTGGAGCCCATAGATGTGGACTGGGAGTGTGAAAAAATGGAGAATAGTTGATCATTGTTGAAGCCAGGTGATGAGTGTGTAGGGGTTCATTAGACAGTTCTGGTTTTGTGTGTGTATGAGAATTTCCATAGTGAAAAGTTGAAAACTTCTTGCCAGTTATTAGCTCTCTCGCTAATGAAAAGACTGTACCCCAGCACCACCAACACTCTTTAGTTTTCCTGTTTATTTCTGCACAGGCAGTTCTCTCTAATAGTCATAGAGAATTTTTAAAGCCTTTGGTCAGGCTTTGGCATCAGATCAGTGTGTCTCCCAGTCCTGTTCTGACCTTGTGTGGTTCCAGTCACTTGTCCTTGTAAAGCAGAATCTAGAGTTCATTTTTTTCCCTACAGTTAGCTTTGGAATGGAAAGGCTTGAAAAGAGAAAATCACTTTCTGGAAGTTTGTTATTCAGTCGTAAGTTCTCACTCTTCTCAGTAACATGTCTCAATTCCATCTCTTTCTAGCTTCACTTAAATCATTTCCAGTATATTGTGTCTGGCCTAAACTGGTTTCCTTATTTCCAGTCCACCCTACCCACCACACCTAGACTAACTCCCTAAAACATGAGGGTATTCTCCGTTGTCACTTCACTGCATGGTAACCCCCTGTGTCTGCTTACTGCCTACGGAATGAAGTTGATTCCTAAGTCAGAACTCAGGACCCACCACCCAGCAATTCATGCCCCTTTAGCTTCTCCACTGATGCCCTGACCTCCACAAGACCCTGGCCAGCTTAAACCTTTGCTGTTGTTGTCACTTTCCCACATCTCTAGTTGTTGGAGACGCTTTATTAAGACAACCTGCAATCAAAGGAAGACCCACCTCCAGCCTGTCTTCTGCCTTAAAGTCTCCTCTGCGGCCACTCTTGAGTTCTTCTGAAAATAACTCAGTGAATACTGTATAAATTTCCCTGTCTTAGAAATTTGCAATTATTTTAAGAAAGGGACAGACAACTTAAGTGTGAAATACACATACAAAAAAGATCAGGAAATACATATATTACATTAAGGAGAAAGCAACCATTCATGCGACCACGACTCAGGTAAGAAATAGGATGTTGCCAGCACAGAGCAAGTCCCCCCTCTGTTGTTCCTGGATCACAACTTTTCCTATGGTACTCTGATTTTTGTCAGTTCTTTATAATTTTACCTCCTTCCTCCTATATATGTGTCCCAAACAGCAAAGTTTATTTTTTGTCTGGTTTTGAATTTCTGTAAATGGAATCACACCATTTGTATTTTGTCTTTTTCTGCCTAATTTTGGTTTTTAGGAGATGATTCTCTTTGCTTTATAATACTATTCCATTGTACGGCTCTTTTATCCAGTCCACTGTAAATGAACATTGGCTGTTTCTGGTTCGGAGCAAATGTGAACAGCAGGGCTGCTGACCATCCTAGTATGCATACCCCACTACTCCTATGCACGTTTCTCTATGGTGTAAATGTGGGAGCGAAAGGGGGGATCCTGGAAATATGTACATCTTCAACCTTTTTAGTTAATGCCCCCTTGTTTTTCCAAGTAGTGCTACCATTTAACCCTCACACCAGCAGGGCATGAGAATGTCAATGTTATTCAACATTGTCTCCAGTGCTTTGTTATCACCAGGAATTTTATTTTAATATTTGGTCATCTGGTAGGTGTGAAATGGGATCTCATTGTGAGTTTTAACTTAAATTTCCTTAGGTACTAATAAGGTTGAGTACTTTTTCTTTTATTTATTGACCATTTGGATTTCCAGTTTCATGAATGCCTGTTCAATTCTTTTCCCCATACTTCTTTTTTTTTTTAGTTTTTTAAGTTGATTGATATACACTCTTATGAAGGTTTCACATGAAAAACAATGTGGTTACTACATTTACCCATATTATCAAGTCCCCACCCATACCCCAATGCAGTCACTGTCCATCAGTGCAGCAAGACGCCACAGATCCACTATGTGCCTTCTCTGTGCTACACTGTTCTCCCCGTGATGCCCCACACCATGTGTACTAAACATAATACCCCTCAATCCCTTCTCCCTCCCTCCCCACCCACCGTCCCACACCTCTCCCTTTGGTAACCACTAGTTTCATTCTTGGAGTCTGCTGCTATTTTGTTCCTTCAGTTTTGATTCATTGTATACTCCACAAATGAGGGAAATCACTTGGCACTTGTCTTTCTCCGCCTGGCTTATTTCACTGAGCATAATGTCCTCCAGCTCCATCCATGTTGTTGCAGTTGTTTCTTTTGGCCAAATAGTATTCCATTGTGCATATGTACTTCTTCTTTATCCATTCATCTACTGATGGACACTTAGGTTGCTTCCATATCTTGGCTATTATAAAAAGTGCTGCGATAAACATAGGGGTGTATATGTCTTTTTGGATCTGAGAAGTTGTATTCTTTGGGTAAATTCCAAAGAGTGGATTCCGGGGTCAAATGGTATTTCTATTTTTAGTTTTTTGCTTTCCACATATTGCTTTCCACAGTGGTTGAACTAGCTTTCCACAATGGTTGAACTAGCTTACATTCCCACCAGCAGTGTAGGAGGGTTCCCCTTCCTCCACATTCTCACCAGCATTTGTTGTTCTTAGTCGTTTTGATGCTGGCCATCCCCATACTTCTATTAAATTGTCTGTTTCTTACTTGCTTGGGTTTTTATTTTAATTTGGTATATGTGTGTGTATGTATTCTGGATACTATTTCTTTGTTAGTTTTGTGTATTGCAGATGTCTCATCCTGTGACTTACCTTCATTTGTGGTATCTTTTGATGAATGGAGTTCTTAATGTCGTGGAATTTATCTTTCCTCTTAGAGTAGAGGAAATCCTATTTTTTTGTATCTTTAAATTAAACCTTTCTACCTCCAGGTCATTGAAATATTCTCTGTAATCTTCTAGATGTTTTTCAGTTTTGCCTTTAACACTTAAGATCTTATCCACCTGGAATTTCCTCTTTAGAGTGGGAGTCGAATTGCCTGCCTCACGGGGCCCCTGCTGCCATGGCTAGGAAGTTTTGGCACTTCTGATTTTGTCAAGTAAGGACTCTTCTTAAACTACCTTCTGTTATCACTATCACTTCATACAAAGATGTTTTAATACCAAAATAATGGGAGGAGGATAGGGTAAAGGAAAATCCTTTAAATCAAATGATTAACTGTCAGAGTTATACTAGTTTAATTTGTTCTTATTTTTCTCATTTTATTACAGGTCCTGCCAAAGATTTGCCCCAGCACCAGTTCATGGAGATGGATGAAGGAGCCTCATGTTTTACTCTGAAGGGCTGACCTTCCCCAAGTACTAACCATCACATAAGACATCGGGTGTTTAACAGAACTATCCTGAGTAGCCACAAACCCAAGATAATGAACACGGTACCAGAGACTCACACGGCACCAGGGACCCAAGATTTGCCTTTCTGGCTACTTGCACTGGGAAGTTACTCCAGACTAACCAAAATCCCTCGTGTTCTATTTTTAAGCACTGCCTTCTATTTGTATTTGAGTGCCCACTATGTACACCATAGTACATGCCACACACACACACACTTCCTGGCTGCCTTAGAGTTCTTGCCGTTTGGCAGGGGAGGTGGGTGGTTACCACAGAGGGTAGAGGGTGGAGTCGAGGGTAAGCCAGGGTGTGCTCAGGTGCATCACTGTGACCACCTGCTTTCCAACAGGGACGAGTTCAAGGCGCTTCCCCTGAGAGCCTCAGCCAAGACCTGAAGGCTAAATGACCACTTTGGGGGTGAGGTAGGGAGTGAGAAAAGAGGTAGTAGAATATGAAGGCTCTAAAGCCTAGCGGTACGGCACCGGCACAAGCACAAGCA